CAGAATTTATAACAATATTAGCATTTTCTGACATCTGGAAATTGTTTAAAACCTTCTTCTTAGCGGATGGAAGGTTCAAAACACGAGTATCAATTGTATCTGGAACTGAATCATTGATTAATTTAGACAAGACTAACCCATCACGACATTCGTCAAATATTTGGAAATTTTCAGTACTAAATGGCAATCTCTCACCGATGTCCGAATCACCTGCAAGAACCGAGTTTATATGTCTTGTAAATTCAACTCTTTCTTCATCGTTGATAGTATGAGTTGTGTCGGAGGTCTTACCAGTAAAATATGTCTTATGCGCGGTATTGGTGCTTGGAACAGGTGCCGTTGATGAAGCATTACTACTACCTCCGGAAGCAGCAGCAGCTGCTGCTGCTGCTTGTGAAGGTGCTGATTCTGACTCCTTCAACTTAGCCATCAATTCTACGTAATCATCTAATTCCACATGTCCTGATGCATCAACATCAACGTTCTTTAATGTTTCTCTTGCTTGATCATAAGTATAATCTCCTTTTTGAGAAACGGAGTTAATGACATCTTTTTTTTCAACCCACCCTTTATCTTCTAAGTCGATATTCCTGAAATCTTCGATAATTCCAAAAAGATCATTCTGTTCCAACACTGGGAACTTTTTTTGTAGTTTCAACACGTTCATTGTATCAATTGAATAAGTAGCATGTTTATTAAGTCCATCATGTAGTTTTCGCCCTTAAATAACGGAAAACGCTATACTGCATATAAACAGGCCATGACCAGTTGCTGGCTGAGTTTTTTTGCATCTATTGAAAGCAGATGATTCCAAGGAGCTATGGTATATTGGGTGAAGTAATATCAAAGATAAATAGTAGATGGGCATCCGACAACTTGTTTAAGAACTCAATTTGATTTGGTTCAAGAATTTTAATCTTACTCGCTCATGCTCCCTCGGGTACAACCATTCGCTTGATGAAATTTTCGAAATGTTTCGAAATATATCCACTTTTTTTTGGATATTATACCGTTGAATATCAAGAAGTTAATTGAACTAATGCCATTATAGCTATGACGAGTTGTAATGTAAGGAATTTGGAGAAGGCTACAGGTTTAATAAAAATGCCTAATTTCTATACCATTCAGTGCTTTTGCAATGACGATTGTTATTAAATGGACAATGTATACTAAAGGAGATATCTCTCCTATTACATATTAGTTGTATTAGTTAGAACCTATAATGACTTATTGGCTTGGTTTATGTAGCCATGCATTCAATTAAGTAATGATGGAAGAGATAGCAAATGCACGTGACATCATTTTGAGTTGATATCAATGAACTTGATAAGTATGCCTAAGACTGAGTCGTAATATAGTTCTACGCAATAAGATATACAAATAAGACCAATGGGCTCGAAAGACGAAGAGGCGTCTGAAATTACAAATACGGACTCAACCGTTATGTCTGGGATATCAGATATACCACAGTTATCCAAAGAGCAACCCGTATTTGACATCGAACAAGTGCAACTTCAATTCGGCCTTAATCATTCGTTGCATAAGCTATGTGTTAAAAATAATGTCATGTATCTTCTAGAAGATAATTACGTATACAAAATTATTTTGGAAAATCCGTCGGAGGTGAAGCAGCTTCTGTTACCATCTGGAACAGAAAGTAAGATCACGGATTCTTGGCTACATCCGAATGGATTACATTTGGTCATACGGACCAATAATAATAATTACTATTATTTGCATGATTCATATAACGACTTTAAATTACTTCCACGACTTAAAAATATGGATATCAAGTTCGTGGTGTTTCCAAATTCACTGGAATATAAAGAATCTACAGGCGACTTTTTAATCGGAACAAAGGATGGATCCGTCTACATAGGAAATATTAAACACCACGACAGTGGAAATGATAAGAAGAAAGATGATAAATATGTGAAGTTAGTATACAGACAACCGCAACCGATTTTAGGACTTACTTATGCGAATAATGATTTACAAATAAATATATTTACTGGTAATCAATTATTAATATGGGATTGCTTTGACAATTCATACGCTGAATTAATTAAGGTATTTAAAATGAAACCTAAGACAGTCACTCTTCCAAAATCTAATAACGTGGCTCCTGTTTTTGAATCGAATGGTCATTATTTTGCTTATTTGGTGTCACCTTCTAATGATATATATTCTAATGATCCCGAGCTATCCCTTTCTAAGACTGAGAAATTGAATTTTATGAATGATTCTGTTTCTACTTATTCTAATTCATTGATAATAACTCCGCATCATTTAATCGCATTAAATAAGGATCACGATAAGCTTTATATTCATAACAAGTTGGCGAACTCAAAACCCATTGTACTTAATGTGAAAGAATCTTTACATAAAAATGAAAAACTTCTTGGTATAACTGCTGACTATGTAAAAATGACATATTGGTTATATTCAAGTAATAATATATATGAGCTTGTCATTAATAATGAGTCAACATCCGTCTGGTATAACTATTATAAACTTGGAAAATATGAAAAAGCTTTAAACTGTCTTGATGATCCAGATTCGAAAAATTATTTCAAGAAGGATATGGTTTTAGTAAAACAAGGTTACGATTATTTACAAAAGGGTGGCTTCGGAATTGATTTTGCTGATGAAGACATCGATCAAGACTTATTTAACCTTCAAATCAAGGGAATAAAGATTTTAGGACAACTGTCTGAACCATTTGAAAAGGTATGTTTAATGTTATTAAACTTGCAACAACCTCTTGTTGATGACGATAGAGCTAAACGGAATTATTCATCGGAAAAATTATTAGTTGAATATTTATTAGTGAAGTTTAAAATTGCTAAAACAATAGAAAGATCTCGTATTAGAGTGATAATCTTATCAACCTGGATTATTGAATTAATGCTCAGAACGACATACGCAGTAGAGAATGAGGTCAATCTCCGGACGTCATCTGAGGCACCAATAATTCAAAAGGATGACTCATCTCAAAAGAACTTTGATAAGACGAAAAGTATGCTTAAATCCCTAGATGACCAGTTCAAAAGTTTTCTATCTCAAAACTATAAAATCCTTGATACTAAAACAGTGTACCAGGTAATTAGTAATTTGCATTATCCTTCGAAATTAATATATTTTGCCGAGTTAATTAAGGACTATGGGTTTATTCTAAAGTACTATATTGATATAGAAGACTGGGATAATGCTTTGAAGACGTTAATTAAAATATATACTGTATCGGAGACTCACAATGTGGATATAATTTACAAGAAATCGGCAATCTTATTAATAAACAGTCCAAAATTGACTATTGATACCTGGTTGAAATTCCCAAGTTTGAACTATGAAAAGCTATTGCCAGCAATTTTAATGTACAACAAGAATAATCGTACATTGTCATTAGCGGATAATCCCAGCATTCCATTTTTACTGAAGATAATCTACGATAAAGGTATTAAAGACAAAGCTGTCAATAACTGCTACTTATCTTTATTAATTACTTATCCATTCAATGATGATAATACAAAGAAGCATTGTACGAGGTATATTGTCAAATTCTTAAACTATGCTAAATCTGAATCGATTAATAATTCGAAGAAGCTTTCTTTGTATTCTGCAGATTTTATCCTCAGATTATGTATCAATTATAAACAATATCAAGCTGCTGTTCTTATTTTGATTAATGATATGGGTTTATATGAACAGGCTTTGAAGCTATCCCTTGACAATGAATTAACAGATTTGGCTGAATTTGTATTAAAGAAATATGAAGAATCAATCCTCAATAACGGAAACTTTGAATTAGTTGGAGAGGACTACGATCTTGTGTACGATAAAATGGAAACTGAAGATATAAATTCTGTTTCTAAAATTAAGTTAGAAGAGGATAACTTTAGTTCCAGGAAAAAGCTTTTAATGATGTTTGCAAAATATATTATTGACGGGATCTGCCAAGGGAAGGAGTTTGAAATATTGAATATTGTTGGTGATGATAAAGAAAGCAATATTTTAGTATCGCAAAATAATGGAAATGAAAAACAAAACGGTGATACAGTTAAGGATGTCACAAATAATCTAGTCGGCTCAATGAGCAAAAATGATAATCTGGTTATTAGAGAAATAAACCTGTCGAAGTTGAATAAAGCTCTTAGATACTTATTGAATTTATCATTTGGGAACAATTCAAATTCCAACATTATAACCCTTAAAGACTTATTACCATTATTTCCAGAATCGATTATGATTAATAATTTTAAGGATGAGATTGTGAAATCATTAAACCAATACAACACACGAATCAATCAGTTGTCTTCAGAAATGCAAGAGTCCTTGAATATTACGCATAACTTAAAAACCCAGATTAAAGAATCTAGGAAGAGAGATGCAAGAGGTAAAATATATTCCATTATTGAACCCGGAGAGCCATGTAAATTGTGTCAAAATTTGTTAATTAATAAAAATTTTGTATGCTTTCCAAACTGCCATCACAATTTCCATAAGGATTGTCTTGTGAAGTACTATCTAAAGCTGAAAAGTGATTATCGTTTCAAAAAGATATTCCAGAATTTCAAGAAGAATGCAAATGTATCAAATAAACAAGAATTAGACGATATTATGTTGAAGGAATGTGTTTTATGTAACGATGGAAATATTTCGACAATTGATGCTAATTTGATTGATATCGAGAGAAATAAATCTGAATTACAAGAATGGGTATTATAGGTTATATGTACTTGTTAATAAATGCTGACTGAATATATTTTACTTAATTATCTATTTATAATGAATGCAAAGTAAAGAGCAACGTATCATTTTTTCAGTAGACTTGATATTTGATTTTGTTATCGCCTATATAAAGCTTGCAGAAATTGCTAAATAAAATATTTAATTTTATCTGCAGTACCTTTTTTTTTTTCCATCTCATCTCATTATTTAACTTACAGTATTGAAGTGCTTTGCAAGATTTATACTTGCAATAACGATAATAACTAAGTATGGGGAAAACTCAAAAGAAGCACAGTAAAGGTCGTTTAGATCGTTACTATTACTTAGCTAAAGAAAAGGGGTATAGAGCTCGTTCTTCTTTCAAGATTATTCAAATTAATGAAAAATATGGTCATTTTTTGGAGAAGTCTAAAGTTGTCATTGATTTATGTGCCGCCCCTGGTTCGTGGTGTCAGGTTGCATCGCAATTATGTCCTATTAACTCCTTGATTATTGGGGTTGATATAGTACCTATTAAGGCTTTACCAAATTGTATTACATTTCAATCTGATATTACTACGGAAGACTGTAGATCTCAGTTGAGAGGTCATATGAAAACGTGGAAAGCTGATACCGTGTTACATGATGGTGCTCCGAATGTTGGTTTAGGATGGGTTCAGGATGCATTTACTCAATCACATTTAACATTACAAGCTTTAAAATTAGCAGTTGAAAATTTAAACACAGGAGGAACGTTTGTTACCAAGATTTTCAGATCCAGAGATTATAATAACTTAATGTGGGTATTTCAGCAATTATTTGAAAAGGTAGAAGCAACCAAGCCGCCAGCTTCTCGTAACGTTTCGGCAGAAATTTTCGTTGTTTGTAAGGGGTATAAGTCTCCAAAGAAGTTGGATCCAAGACTTTTAGACCCGAAGGAAGTCTTTGAAGAATTACCAACCGGTCCTGATAATAACGAAGCTAAAATTTTCAATCCAGAAAAGAAAGTTAGAAGAAGACAAGGTTACGAAGAAGGAGATTATACTTTATTCCACGAGATGCCATTGTTAGAGTTTATTAAGAATGAAGATCCAATTAATACTCTAGGAACATTAAATAAATTGTCGGAACCACCTAAAGATGATCATGAATGGAAAATTTTAAAAAAGTCGAGGTTGTGTACGCCAGAATTATTGGAATGTATTAAGGATTTAAAAGTTTTGGGTAGAAAGGACTTTAAGCACTTGCTAAAATTCAGAAAACAAGCCAGGGATTTACTTGGATTGGATGCTAAAGAAGAGACTCAAGAAATTGAAGTCGAACCATTAACAGAGGACCAACAGATTGAAAAAGAATTGCAAGAGTTGACGGAAAAGCAAAAACAAAAAGCAAAGAAGGCAAAAAAACAATCTAACGAAATCAAACAAAAGGAAATTCAAAGATCGCAAATGAATATGTTGACAGATATGAATATCGGTATTGAGGCAGCTCAAATTGGAGCCGAGTCCCTATTTAATTTGAAAACAGCTATTAAGACAGGCCAATTAGAAAAATTAAGTAAGGGTAAAAAGAAGATGATCTTTAATGACGAAGAAATCATGAAGGATAATGACATTAACTTTGATGAAGAGGCCGATGCTAATTCTGAAGATGAAATCGACGAGTTAGAAGCACAGTTGGATGATATGTACAATTCTTATCAAAATAGAAGAGCTGAAAGAGATGCAAATTACAGAGCCAAGAAGTTGAGAGGTGATGTTGATGATGAAGGTTGGGAAGGTATCGAATCAGATAAAGAAGGAAGCGACAGAGAAGCAGAAGCTAACGACTATGAGATGGAAAGTGAATCTGATTCCGACGATGACGAACATATTCAAAGAATTGCCGATCAAAGGAAGAAAGAATTATCTAAGAATGCGAAGGTATTTTTTGCTTCAGATAGTATATTTGGTGAATTAGGTGACGATTCCTTACTTGAAGAAATGAATAAGAAGGAGGCCAAGAGTAATCAAGTTCCTAATGGAAATGCCGTCGATCATACGAACGATACCAATAAGTCAGATCAGATGGAAGTCGATAGTAGCGATAGCGAAAGTGATGTAAGTGATGACAGTGATTTTGAAATCGTTCCTAACGCTCCAGATGAAGAACTCTCTGATAGTGATTCCGATAATGAAAATGACGTATCACGTAAATATTCAAAGGCAAAGGATCAACAACAGAAAGTGGATATTGCTACGGTTGAAGCAATGACTTTAGCCCATCAAGTGGCATTAGGGCATAAAAACAAGCATGATTTAGTCAATGAAGGTATTCATAAGTATTCTTTCAGAGACCATGATGATCTTCCTGAATGGTTTGTGGATGATGAGAAGAGAAATTCGAAGATCGTTAAGCCAATCACTAAGGAAGCAGCATTGGCTATCAAAGAGAAACAGAAGCAATTGAACGCCAGACCTATCAAGAAGGTTTTGGAAGCCCAGGGCCGTAAGAAATTAAGAGCATTGAAGAGATTAGAGAAGTTGAAGAAGAAGTCTGATATGATCAACGAAGACAGTGCCAAATCCGAAAGGGACAAGGCAGATGAAATCCAGAAGTTGATGAAGAAATTAACCAAGAAACAGAAGACAAAACCAAAGGCCACTTTGGTTGTTGCCAGAGGTTCTAATAGAGGTTTGAGTGGAAGACCTAAGGGTGTCAAGGGTAAGTATAAGATGGTTGACGGTGTTATGAAGAACGAACAAAGAGCTTTGAAGAGAATTGCAAAGAAACATAAAAAATAGATATAACCAACATCATGTCTTCTTAACCCGACATATAGTCTAATAGTATATACTATAATATTACAATATAATCGTACTTCGCACATGTATACGGCGATGGACGCTTCGGCACATTCATCATTCAGCCTTATTGTTTATTCTACAAAACCTAAATCTTCTCCATTAATAATTATTAATTATTTTCCAGTATCACCTAAGTACAGTTCAAGTTTATACTTTTACGGATTACGAATCCCTCTAATGCCACCCTATTGTGTTTCTTTATCATGAGTACCTATAAAAATTTTCTCACCCATGTAGTACACAATAATCGCGTAGAAAAAAGTAATTAAAACCCAATCTAAAAATACGCAATTTGGCTTCATCTCTTCTTTCATAAATACTAAAAGTTGGTTTTTATTAGAGCGTATTTGGAAGTCATATTCGTTGACTATTGATTAATTATCTACATCTTGCTGCGTTATACGTTAGCGTCCATTCATTATTGCATACCACAAACCATTAATATCATTATTTTAGTTCATCCGCCGTTCCGGTTTTTTTAATTTTTGTTATACTAGATGAGTTCGTTGCCAAATCCGTCACATCTAGCACTTACTCCTGGAAGGAGGCATAGACATAGAAGATCTGCAGCTATTTCTGGAGACTTTGACCTGGTTGGGCTCGGGTTGTTTTCGCCTACAACTAATACTAACACGCATACTCTGAACACACCAAATAATACAGCATCGGATGAAAAAGACTATGAATACGGGAAGAGTGGCGACGACCTAGATAGACATTTTAATTTCAATAACGAGGATGATTTTTGCAAGAAACCGACCGGGGACGGCTTTTCATTCCCAAATAAGACACCAGACATGAGTCAGAACAACCAGCGCAGTTTTACATCTTTTACATCGCCTCCTAGGAGATCAAATAACTATTCGTTGAATTCCCCTATAAGATTAAACCATTCTAAATCGGCTTCTACATCAGCCGCGCCGAAGACCAAGTTTTTTTTGACGGAAGAAACCAATTTTAATAATGAAAATGTACCGGATGCAGTAATTGATCTTGATGAAATCCTTAAAGCTAACACGAATACGAGAGATAATAATTCTCCTTCAATCCCTATTCACAAACGTACTCAACTGACTCCACCGGAATTATCGGGCCATGATGAATTCCTAGCATCTCCCTTTTTGAAGCCAGCTTCTAGTCCGTTTATTTCATCACCGTTATCTTCGATTAATAATCCACTCTTTCAACAACCTATTAAAGAGCAAACGAGCGATAATGAAGATATTAATGACATTGATGAAATCGACGAACTTGACGAAATGGAGGTGGCGAATGATGACAATATTGATTTGATGGCTGACCATGACGAAGAATTTTTTACAAACCCCCAGCAGACTTTGGAGGGTCTCTATTCGAATTCTTCTGCTAATTCTTCTTGTTCAAGTTTGCGTTCGTCTAAGGCTATCGAGAAGACGTTGTCCAACACATCGAACAATTCTGGAGTTTCAAGTGGTAAGACGGAGTCTCTACCACAAACTAAAAGGTCTGGTGCTAAAGCAAACCGGTATCAATCATTCTACGACCAGTCCTTCAAGGTTTCAAATGCGTTGAAGGTATCTTCATCTGAGAGCATCAATCTTGTTAGGTCAAATAGTATCACTATTAGGATAGCGAACACATCCGCTAATAAAGATATGAGATTATTAGGTCATTCCTCAAGCTTACCCAGTCTCAAATCTAATTCTCTGAAACGGATGGCTTCAAAGCCTTCGAGACTTGGAGATGCAAGGATTGCTGATAGGTATGGCGAAAACAGGTATAATGAATCTAGACCTGTACATTTTGATAATAATAATGAACCATCTCCTTCATCATCTTCTCAGGTTAAAAATTCAGCTATGACGAAAGCTGGAAACAAAGATGAGATCACTAGGATCCCAAGGATAGGAGAGAATCAGCTAGGACTTGGTAAGAACAATTCAACTAGTCCTGCCAGCATCACGTCAAACTACACATCACTTTCTATTAACGGAACTACACCTTCTACTGAGCATTCATCGCTTGTATCGCAACAAGATGTGATCAATAAATCTGATATTAGTCCCTCGAAACAAACTAATCAGACTAATCAGACTAATCTAACTACCCTGAATTCTGTGCGAAGCAAAACTAGCTCATCTAACACGTCTACAGTCTCAGATACTAATGCATCAAATATTTCCAACAAGACTACAGTCACTAATGATTCAAACTCAACACCCCCTGCTATTGTGGTCAGTTCAGATCAAGATAGTTCTCCTTCTACGGACGCTACGTTCGAAGTAAACGATGAACTACAAATCCAATCACCACCTTCTTCTACCACGGTACCAGTATCAACAATATCTATGTCCGTCAACCAATACACTCCACGTCTTCCATCTCCAAAAGAAGAGGCGTTTCTCAGAGGAATTGAAATTCCATCATATAAAAAATCCAATGATTCATCTCCAAAAAAAAGTAAACACTCGAGTTCAAAATCTAGTACCATAGTAGATGAGGTGGTAACGAATATACACAATACTCATCCGTCAGATAATTCGAGTCTAAAACTGAAAAGAAGAAGTAGTAAAATTATTAGTTGGTTTAAACGAAAGTAATAATTTTGTCGCATGTCGCGTGAACTTTGCAAAATTCAATTTAGGTTTCGGTCCAGTATAATTAAATAAATATATAACCACTAATTTAATACTATGATTTATGACCTTCCATCAAACTTCTATGATACGCTCGACCAGAAGTATCAGGAAGCAGTAAAAAATGATGATATTAAGTTTAATGGGGGATCAGCTATCAACAAGCTCGAGCAACAAAAGGTTGGTGATTCCACATTCAACTATCAGATAACCTTGCTTAGTTCACTTAAACATAGACCTGAAAAGGGGACTAAAGAGAACAATCCTTTCGAGAAGCCCGAGAAAGAGTTAACCGTATTAGACACATTTGGGCCAGATGACGAGTTCAGGATTGTGTTCAACAAATTCCCTGTTGTTCCAAGACACTTCATGATGATTACCAGAGAATTCAAGCTGCAAGATACACCATTATCCCCCACGGAGCTAATTGGGACGTATACACTCTTGAACAAGATGAAGAATGAATCCAAGGAAACTTGGTTTGCATTCTATAATTCTGGACCCCAAAGTGGTGCATCTCAACCTCACAAACACATTCAATTTATGACCTTACCGGGCGGCTTCAAGACATATGGGGAGCAATTGGCCCACACATCTGCCCCCTTTATTCCAAATCAAAAAAATGAACCATTGCAGAATAAGGACTTACCATTTGCCCATTTTGCTGCCCCTCTTCCTCCCAATGAACTGGACCTTCAACACGAAGACTTAACCATGTATTTTGTGTCGTTATTACAACGTTGTTTAACTGTTCTGAAGCAAAACGGTGCTGAGGATATTTCCTACAGTTTTATAATGACTACGGACTACATGATGCTTGTTCCTAGATCGAATGGCGTGTACAAGAACACCATTGGGATCAATTCCTGTGGATATGTAGGATTATTTTTGTGCAAGAATGAAGAAACACAGTCCTTAGTCAGCAATGATGGCCCTCTTACAATTCTTGAATCATGTGGTTTTCCCAATACTGCTGGGGAACCTGTTGACGAATACCATTATTAAGTATTTAAACTCATATAGATATATTTTATTAAAATACACTTATTACTTAATTAGGAAGTCTAAATAAGCCAATGAAATCGACACAATTTTTGATTTCTCTCACGCACCAAACAAGTTGGAATTGAACTAGAGAGATGGTACTGACTTAATATACAATAAGAATCAGTATTTAATTCAAAGAAAAATGGCTTCCATTACCTCTATTGTTAAGACTGCTGACTACATTTTATCTAGACCAGTATTATCTAAGGTTGTTAGTCCTGTTGCTAAAGCATTCGTTGCTTATGCCGGATACAGAGAAATGGGTTTAAAGTATGTATAAATTGAAAAATATAATTAGACGGCAGCGATTTGGTTATCATTATTGAAAAGCAAGCTATGAATCTTAAGGGTTAGATTAGAGTTTTTGAAAATGTATAAGGACGAATACTAACCAACTATAGATTTAACGATTTACTCATTGAAGAAACTCCAGTTATGCAGAAGGCTATTTCCAGATTACCAGATGAAGAAATCTACGCAAGAAACTACAGGTTTATTACTGCTCACCAATGTTCTTTATCACATCAATTGTTACCAGCAAACCAAGCCGTTAAACCAGCAGAGGACACCCATTATTTGATTCCATACATTTTAGAAGCTGAAAAAGAAGCATTCGAGAAGGTTGAATTAGATAATATTGAAGTTCCTAACTAATTGTGGTGACATAGCTTCATTGCTCTAAAAGAATAATGTCATATTTTTAAGGATAAAGCAGTTTTATTTGATTTCAGTTTCCATAATTTTCAAAATTATTTATATTTTTTATATTTGAATTAACATTGTATAAAGGTACATGACGTGAATATGTAGTATTTGTCCGTTTGGAGGAGAAAGAATATGACTACATTATTGTAAAATATAGAATTAATTATTATTTCTTTCTAACGAAAATCTATAAGAACTATAAAGTTCAGTCTATAATATGATACAGTTATTCACGAGCATTGTTTATGTTATTAAAACATACCAATCTTAAACTTTCTTAACTGCTCTAACGCTAAGAAGGTGACAATGGTATGGGGACCGAGTCTGATAAAGGAAGGTAACCAACCTCTGAACATGAATCCAACTCCTTCTGTTTTAACAGCAGAAGTCAAGATGGAAATAGTACTTCCATTACTAGCACCTTTCGCGTTCATGATTCTAGTTTTGACGACATCTGCTGGAGAACACACAGTAGTTGCTACTAACCCAGCTAATAATGAGGCACTAAAATGCGTAGCCTTTTTGGATGGATCCAAATGGAGAGTGTCAACCAATAAGTTCTTTGCGATATCATATGTAACAACTTGTGATGCTGTCATTAAAACACCACGGGTTAAGTTTGGAACTAACCCTCTGAATAATGAAGAAACATTCTCTTCCTTAATAATACGGAAAATACCATCAAACGCATTTCTATAGTTTCTTCTTTGCTCTATTGGCAATGATGAATCATTTTGCATTCTAATATTAACAACGTCAGATGGGTTACCTATCAAACCACCCAAAGCACCTGCAACCATAGACATTGGTAACAATATGCCAGTTGATGGAGTTGTATGATACTTTTCGGTGTAAGTTTCTTTCAAAAATTCATATATTCCAAATCTAGCTGTCGAATAGGTAGCCTGTCTTAATAAGGATGCACTCAAACCCGAGTAAATCTTAAGAAACCCTTCCTTAGTTATAATTTGGTAGACCATCGAAGCTAAAGATTGCCCTGGTTTAGATGCAGTTTGTAAACGAACCTTGGCAAGATCTAATGGATGTGTCACTAAACATGCAACCATACTGGCAGCACCACCATACCAGAATCTATATTATTGTTAGTCTTATTCATCGCTTGTCAGCCATTTTGGCCCAAATTTTTTCGTGATCTCTGGATAATACATACGGGTAATTCACTTTTTTATTCATTGTAGACATTTTTTGGGGCCTTTACAATTGCTGTTGATGACTTGACAAATACACTTATGTATCTGGATCCTTGAATATTAAATAATAAAAACTTTGGTTCATGATTGAATTTTTTTTTTTTTTTTAAACCGGACTATTCAGATTGAGTGCGGGCGATATCGGAGAAACTTACTCCAATTTTTGACATCGATGTACATATCCACCTGGTTTGGTCCCAAAATTTGCCCTAATTATTTATCGATTAAACCCCAACAACACGTCTACGAACTACTTTAATGCTGTGGTTATTACTCACATTTGTAGAGTTAATTTATTTAGATATGTAGGTCAATCGCTAATAAAAATTCTGAGATAATGCAGCATAAACTTAGTCCATAGCTAGAGTGGGGTAGCGGCCAAGCGGCCAAATATTAAATTATATGAATTTGAGTTAACTTGAATTGAATTACATCTATAAAATGTCTTAGAAATAACTTCCCTCATTATCTGAAATAATCGTCTTCAGTATTGAAACCAAATATCTTATCTTCATCAACACCCATATATTGTCCGTATAATTTTGCATCGTGCGGGTCTATATTCCCCACTTGGCGAATGTATGCATTATTAAAACGGCTAATTTCATCGAATGGTTGGTGATCGTTATAGTTGACCAATGTTGATGTGTAGTATTTGTAAGTATCATTGTCTTTGAAATCAATGCTTAGTTTATCAGTCACACTGGAGATTTGTGCTTCGGAATACATTGATGGGTGATAGGCAAAATTGGACAAATCTGCTTGCGAATGGTACAAGTCCAAATCTTCCTGCTTCAATTTTGGTTTAGCTAGAGAATTGATATAATCGTAGTCATCCATAGATTCCAGACCTTCTATAGACATGGATTCAAAATGCAAATTAGGCGATGTAGAATACGACTTATTCCGCGATTTCAAATCCTTCGCCGAGTGTAATCCAGTTGTATACCCCAATTTCTCAATTTTTGTTGCAAGAAAGTTCTTAATTTTCTTTGAATTGGCAATACTAATATAATTATGGCCGGAACCATTAGGATGATTATAATGCTGATTGTGTTTAAAGGAATTCGAAGGGTCTCTGACAAATCCCGATCTGATAGATTGGCTTTCTATTTCCTCGTCATCTTCGTCTTCTTCTATGTCCTTTATGCTATCCTTTGTTTCTTCCTTACAAACTTCTAAGTACTGTAAATTTTTAACACCATTTTTTGAAGTCATAACATCAGTTTCGTCAGTTCTATTGGATCTTAAAAATGGTTTCCTTGACTCAAATGGACTATAGTCAAATTTTTTAATCGGACCAACGTTAACTATAGAGGGGAAATATCGTGCATTGGAGTTCATGTTGAACTGAAATAGCTCATACATCGATTGGAATTTCAGAGAAGCGTAACACTCATTAAACCAATTATCATTATATTCCGGAAATGGCATTAATTTTTCGTAAGACATATCAAATTGATTTTCGCTCTTCTTATCCGATTCGATCATATTAAATTTAAATCTATCGTCGGATAAGTAGTGCTCATTGTACCAACGAATATAACTCAATTTGATCCTTATGTCTTCGATTAAGATATCGTTATGTAAGTAGAAATCGTTTTGTAGTTCCCATAATTTAGGCTTGTCTGGTGAATATTGGTAATTTCCCAAAAATAAATTAATGGCCTCTTGTCTTGTCAGGTCCATAAAAGAATTCGAATAAATTCTTTTTATACTATTCAAAATATCCCTCGTATGTGATGACCATTGATTTATTCTACGATATGAATCCATTGTGTTCACCAAGTTAGACCCACCATATTGTACTGCGATTGTATCACCATGATCATGAAATATTTCAGTAAGAATGTTTATCAAATCAGAATCATAGTCCAAGTTTGTTGATTCTGAAATGATGTTAAGGCTCCTCAATTGATACGAAAGTGCTTCTTTGCAAATTATAAACTGAGCAGCATTTGTACGATCAAGACAATCAATACAATTCGTTCTAATAATACCTTTCTGAACTTTCGTTGAAGCTAGATCAGTACCATTATGGAAGAAACCAATTCGGTCTATGGAATCTGATGCAATTTTCTGTAAGGGTGTAATAACATCTAAGTTTTTCTTAGAATGTTTAGACATATCGAATGAATGATACTGTAACTTATGTTGTCCCGGCAAAAATTGATTTAGATATTTTATACAATTCGTAAAGTGTTGGTTCAACTTCAGTTCTCGAGGTTGCTTTTCTTTGGTTTTGATTAAATTTAATATAATTACTGGCAGGCCATATCTTCTAAAAAGACCATTGAAATGTATTGCCGAGCTTTGATAGAACGGGTCAGGTAAGTTGATCTCGATTGGTGGCTTGGGTAATCTATTCAAATCCTGAGTCCAATATAGCGGGATGGATCCTCTATGCTGAACAAAACTAGTATACCTTGGATTATTAAAAAACCCATGTTTTGTATCATGAAAAGAAGATATCAACATATCAGAAACAATTTGTTCTGTCTCAACCTCATTTGCAACGTTTCCCTTGTCGTTAACTCCTCTTTTCAAAAATCTGGCTCCGGCAAAATGGTGAGAGCGACGAGCTAATATTGTAATGTAAATCTTCTTTCCATAAATTGATATGTTAGCCTGGTCAATAAATCCATGAATAATTGGTTGGAACCATTCGTATGTTGCGATATCAGGATTTTCTAACATTGGTCTTAATAATAGTTTATTCCACACAAACCGCTCATTATGTTCAAAATCATCAAAATAGTCAGGTATTTCTTTACTCTCTTGCTTATCCTGTTTATATTGGTATTTTGTTGCAAGTTTTTTATGCCTTATAATGTTCGTTTGCAATGTGTTCGTAAGATCATACGCATAACTGAAGTAGAACGTCTTCCCCAAATCCATATACTTGAAAATAGATAATAATCTCTCCTCGTCACTGTATTTATCTGGCCTTCTGTAATTCACATCCAATGGAATTAATTTCGTTTCGTCAACATGATATATAAAATGGCCCCCAATAATAGCTACTTGGCTTCGTTTGGTAATTATACTTAGGTAATATCCTTTCGTAAATTTAATTAGTCCCAATAGTCCATAGCCTTGAGCTATTTTACGGAGGTTTCCTTCCATCGATTCATTTAACCCATTGATCAATTCTATCATGTCTTTCCTGGTATAAAAATAGTTCTTGTCTTCAATAATTGTTAGATTAGTTTCATCCTTAGGGTCTTTACCTATTTCTAACACACGAAATAAGCTTTCCTTTGCATTACTCCCAACAATGTACATCGTAGTAAGCGAATTATATATTGTGAATTTTTGCAAAATAATACGCTTATTATTATATTCGGGAGAAGCGGTGTATGCATCGTCACCTTCGTTTTCTACATCACTTTCATTAGCAATACTATTGCCCGCATATGTATCTGTTAAATTGTTTGAGTTATTTATATCATTCGTATGATTGTCATTACCAACTTCAGCGTCAATTGGATCTTTAATGTTCTCTGGCTCAGTAGATATTCCATCTACTGCCAAACTTGCCTGTGATTCACTATTATCCGAACTAGATTCATTATCATTGTATATTATTGAACCGGATAGAATATCCTGCGAACTCATTTTTGACTTGTAGCCCATTTAATTCATTGATATACAAAAGTATGTAAGCTAGTGAATCAAGTAAATACTACACTTAGAGCGTTATCAAAAGTTCTGCTACACGTGATTTTCTTCAAAAATACTATTTTACCTACAGTGAATCCCTCTAGTCGAATGGTATTACTAATATACTTTGGCTATATATGGTGGTAAATCATAGAAGAAGGTGTTTAGCTACCTTCCGATGCTTATATTAGTAATATAAAGCTATAGCTCACCAATTATAGGAATCTTCCACTTCAAGCCTTCCCTATCATAAGCACATACTCTCTTATTCTTGCTATCTTTTTCCTTGGTTGCCAATTCTTCGTCTTCATCACATTCATGCCAGTCCATCTCAAAATCTCCAAATCTGTTGATGAATTGTCTTCGTTGGTATACAGTATTGAACTTAAACAAACGCTTCTTAAAGCGGTTGTTAAAAAAGAAATTAGCATACTTCGAAAGATCTTCAACTTCAATTTGATCATCCTTATTGGCATCACTATTATTAATTGCTTCCACTGCGGCGCTACTGTCGGCATTAAAGTGATATCCATGCAAAAACTCCTTGTCGTATTGATCCCATATGGAATAAGGATCTGCCGAACCGTACCCTTGCTTTGTTTCTAGTTTCTCCAGAGACCCACCATTCTGAACATAATTCAATGCCTTATAAAAGTTTTTCAATGGAATATTGATGAAGTATCTGTAATCAGTTTCCTTTATCGTATAATAAAGTAAATCGTAATCATTAAATAGCAATGATGGCTGGCAAATATCAATAAAGAAAATGCGGAACCCAGACTTTAGGTATAGACCAATCTCCTCCATGACTACCTGGACTTTTCTGGTTTTATTATGCTCGTCAACATCGTTAGCTTCTGGGATAACAATCTCACCTAGCTTCATGAGGCAAAATTGCTTCTTGGGCAAAATATTGTTGATGTTTGTGGGAGGGTAGAATGTCTGGAGAACTGGATTTCCATCCTCATCTTTGTATTTAACCTCAAATTTTGTGGTGCCGAGACCACTCCCATGCTTAACGATTAGACCAATGTTCAAATTATAAGTCCCCGGAGATAGCCACATGCTTTTAGTATACGAGAGCAAGTACGTCCTATTGATTTCCACAAAATGATTGAACACATAGTTCGTTGGCTCGTCTATCTTGTAGTCCTTGTACTCAGCAAACAATCTTTTGTTTTTTAAAAGCGAGTAGATGTACTTCCAGGAGTCTTTAATGTACATGCAATGTAATGGATTATCATCATGAGCTTTCTCGATCGTTATATCCTCCAATTCCAAACGAGACGCTATTATATTTCTGGCCACGCTTCTGAACGAATCTAGTGTCTTAATATAAACCTTCAACCATGGTAACACTTTAATAATAATATCCATTATGCTCTCTCCAAATGTACGAACAATCTTCTCGTAGTACAAGTCATTGTAAAGAATGTAGAAATGTGAATTAACATGCTTCAAAGCGCTTGACGGCTCAAGCGTTATCAATTGAACCTGGATTTCTAACGGTAGTTTGCCTATCATTGAACCCTAAGATCTGTAATACATTCTTCATTAAATGTTGTAAGACCACTTTCAGCTTTTATGATTGCGGGTGCTGTATTCACGTGAATTGGACCCCTTTGATAAGCAGCTTCCAGATTTGCACTCAGATTCCAAATAACCACCAAGAGGCCAACAGAGCTACAGAGAAGCGATTAATGTGTATCTATTATTTAGGGGATACTTAGGATCGGTGGAGCGTAGCTGTAACATAAAGGGTGTCTCGAGACTAAAAGATTGTCCGTTCACTCGCATATTCACCCACGAGACTAGCAATGGCATTTGTTGTTCTCAGTTAAATTCCCGCATTTAGCGGCAATAGCCCAGTGCCCTGTCTCTATAATCACCCTAGTCGTAAAACATGCTAGGCTCCGACCTGATTTATGACTCCATAATCGCTGTAGCTCTCCATAACTGTATAGAACCATGTATAACGTCCAAAGTCCGGGAATGATGATTTCACCGATCAAACCTATACTGTACTTACATCATATAGGTTCATCGAATTACATAGGGGAATATGCCTTATTATATCAATGCATACGGCATAACTACAGAAATTCTTGGGACATAACTACAAAAACCAATTCGACGTAACTACGAAAATCGGTATCCCCTCTGGAGCCTCATAAAATCGGTTCTGTTTCCTTCCATTACAATCACACGAATACACCAAGATAATATCCACCTCACATACCCACCAGTTTCCACATATCCACCTCCAGAACGTACCCGTTCATTACTTAGACCTGATGGATTTTTGCAATTACAACAATTATTATGCCACGTGATTTGGGAATCGAACGTTCGAGAAGGCGAAACTTCCACTAGTGATTAAACGTTGCGATATAATTTGAAGTATTAATAGGTGGAAAAGAACAGTATTTTAAGCAATTGATCTAAATAATAAAGACATCGTTACAAAAAATACAATATGACTACTGTTACACCAACCGTTTTATGGGCACAACGTTCCAACGCAGAAGATGCTAGTAAGAATGTGATTTATATGACTATTGAAGTCCTTGATCCAATTAATATTAAATTGGACTTAACTTCCAGTAGCTTAAAATTAAGCGCCGATTCACTGGACAATGGTACTCACTATTCGTTAGAGTTGGAATTTTTTGATGAAATCGATACTGAAAACTCCCATAAGAATACCGAATCAGGTCATCAAATCTACTTGATATTGAGAAAGAAGAATTTGAAGGAAGAGTTCTGGCCAAGGTTGACTAAGGAAAAGTTGAAGTTGCACTACATCAAGACCGATTTTGACAAGTGGGTTGATGAAGATGAACAGGACGAACAACCAGAGGAAGAACCAGACATGTCGAACATGATGAACATGGGTGGTGGTGCCGGAGGCATGCCAGGTATGGGTGGAATGCCAGGCATGGGTGGTATGGGCGGTATGCCAGATATGGGAGCTATGGGTGGAATGCCAGGAATGGGAGGTGCTGGTGGTGCTGGAGGCGCTGGAGGAATTGACTTTGCCCAAATGATGCAACAAATGGGTGGTGCCGGTGGCGAAGGTGGAAACTTCGATATCAGTCAATTGGCCAGTCAATTAGGCCAAGCTGGTGGAAATGCTGGCGGTGAAGAAGGCGAAGAAGGTGAAGGCGAAGCTGAAGGTGAAGGCGAAGCTGAAGGTGAAGTAGAAGAAGCTAAATAAGTTTAATAGTATTATAGTTGCCTTACAGGTATTCCTAAACACGTACCCAAGGTGGAAATCTACGTCAGTAAATTTACGTCAATTCTTAATTGTAGTTATATAATTTGGGCCCATTTTGATAAGATTAGTCCGAGGGGAACAAGATCCACTTGTTTCGAACCGGTGTCAGTCGACTCGTTAGGCTCGCCGATATTGTGGCTGTCTGGTATTGGAACATCAAAGTTAGCTTCGTCCAATTCTGTCGATCTTTTATTCGGTCCCAGTATCACTGGGACTTCATCATTGCGGTTCACTTCTTGTTGAAAGGTATTATCCGTTTGAGCAACATCGCAAGTCTTGTCTTCTTCCGGCTGCAAATTAGGTACCTGCTTATTCCATATCATTGGCATATATGGCCTTTTATTATTAGTTTCTTCGATCTCCTCAAACGGCTCATTCAAATAAATTTCGTATTTCCTGTAGAACTTCAAGTTGTACATTAAGCTGCAAATAAAGTTGACTGTCTTTGCCGAATAATCTTTCAAGTCCATAAATGCATCACTCAGTCCTTCAGTCATCTGATCATTTTCTTCATTCCCTTGCAACTTTCGTGCCATCAATTGGTCACCTTTTTTCATAAAATGCTCGAATATCCCGTAGAGCCCAATTATCTTCGTATCCTTGTCTATGGGTGGTAAATCCGGATGCTCAGTTCCTCCTTTAACCAGAAAATGTTCACCTAAAACAGTAATTAGTTCCGATATTGATTCTACCAAAGTAACATTAATATTTCCAACGCTATTAATGTAATTGACCGTGGCTGTAGGTTCTGGCCCATCTATATAATAATTTTCATATAGTTTCAGATCTGCTATAATAATATTAGCCTTTCCACATCCATGGTCTGGTCGATATAACTTTCCCAAAATTACACTTGTAAATTCTTTGAATGATGAGCAGTCATCAACATACAGTATCATCAATCCTTTATATGCTTGTCATGTATTTTACTTATCTTTAGTTCTAGGTATTATATCAATATGTATCACACGACATTTGAAAATGTCGCGTTGGTTTAAGTCGTGTGTTTCTCAAGTTGAAAATTCCGAGCGAAAAATTTCAATATACCTTCAGTCTATAGGTTATCCAAGGTTGACTTAGGTTTATTGTAAGACTAGTAACGACCAAAATGATGGGAAGTTCCAAGTCGTGTGTTACCTTTCACCGAGGTATAGTCCGTGGTGCATTTCTTCGTCGCCAGACTTACTCTACCGCGGCTGTAGAGGAAAGATCATTGGAACAAATGAGTCAAAGAGAATTACGTGAAAAAGCGGTAGCTGAAGCACTTGCAAGAGAAGAAGAGGCGGCTGCTAAGGCTAAGGCATTACGTGAATTGAAGAATCAAACTAGAGATTTACTTAGTACTTTGAATAAAATACCATCTACTTTAGTCAACTCCAGATTACAGAAATTACAAAGTGAGTTAGACGGCATTTCAAACCAAGAAAAGGTCAAACAATTGGATCAAGAATTGGAAGAATTTATGTTTGAAAAGATGAACTTGCCACAATACGAAATTCAAAATAGACCATGGGCTGTTGGACCTAAACAAACCATTTCCAATGGTGAACAAGGAAAAGATGATATATCCACCCAAATCAAGTCTACCACATCTAATTCATATACCAATCAGTTTCCAAACTTAAAGCCAACGCCTGATTATAAACCATATTCAACACAAGAATTATATTTAAGACAGTTGACGCATTCCCGTCAATCTGGTAATTTAGGTTCCGAATTATCTAACATTTATAAACCAAGAGACGAAGTCAGAAAGCCTCGTAGTATTTCAGAGACCACCATTTCTACATTAATGGCTGCCGGGTGCCATTTAGGTCACGCCAAGGCTATGTGGAGACCATCTACTCAGCCATATATTTATGGTGAATACAATGGTATTCATTTAATAGACTTGAATGAAACTTTATCTGCGCTTAATAGAGCAACCCAAGTCATAAAGGGTGTTGCTGCTAAGGGTGGTATAATTTTATATGTTGGAACCACCAAGAATTGGGAACAACATCGTGCATTGGAAGAGGCTGCTAAGAGAACCCGTGGTTACTACGTCTCTAAAAGATGGGTCCCTGGTACTATCACTAATTTCACGGAAGTTACTAAACAGATAGGAGGAGGTAGTAGAATTGAGGTCGACATGATGGATCAACCTACTGATCGTAAGTTAGATGAGGAAACCTCTGGTAACCTCATCAAGCCAGATTTAATAGTCTTATTAAACCCTGTTGAAAACAGGAATTGTATTAATGAATGTATCAAGCAGAGAATCCCAACCATTGGTTTATGTGATACTGATATGGAACCATCCTTGTTGACCTACCCAATTCCATGTAATGATGATTCGATGAGAGCATCTTCCTTAATGACCGGTATTTTATCTAAATCCGCCGAAGAAGGTTTAAACGAGAGATTAAATATTTCCAGGGAATACAAATCTGCTCAATCGAAGTTTGGTAACAAATTAGCACAAAAAACTGCAAGAATTGTTAATTCTAGTATGCGTTCTGCTACTGCTTAAATAAATTATATATATATATATATTGTAGATAGTCCTTTTGAAATAATATTCATTAACAAATTATACTTGTACAAACCTAGTAATTCAAATGAACTACCTTATCATTATCGTTATCATTAGCGTCGTTGTGTTTTGTTTTTAAACCTTTCTCTTGCACCTCTTGTAGAAAACGAAGTTTATGAGACTTCTGTGATACTATATACGCCTTCACATTTTCATCTTCAATATCATCTTCATTACAAGCCATCTTACGCTCCAACGTATCAGCATCGATAACTAAATTAGATAGTTCAATTCCCTGTGGTCCTTTAAATATTTCAGTAGCCTTTGAATTATCTTGCCTCGATCCTGATAAATTTTTATCCATATCCCTCACCCGAAAGCCACTACCTTTGGATTCAACGAATAACCGAATGTAATTCTTCTCGTTGTCATTAGTATAAACGTTATTGTGATATTGTAAAAATTCCAATTTTGAAATGGTTATAGTCATTATTATAACTAATCTCTTCAGAAGTGAATTTTTCCACCCGAGAACGTTAAATAGCTGCTTATGCACTACAAGCTGCAAATAAAAAAAATTAAATATTAGTTAAATTAATGTATTTAAATACGCTTACTATAGACAGACACTAGGATAAGCACACAAGAAAGCCTTCGAGGTGAAATTATTCGGTTTTCTTGGTTTCGTCTTCGCCAGACTCGGTTTCTTCGTCATCTTCGTCATCACTTCTTTCATCCTTAGTAACACCACCAGCAACATATCTCCACAAGATACGGAAAATCAAAAATAACCAGTAGGCATTAACAATCTGCAACGCGCCAATTAAGAAGAACACAATAGGTTGGGAAATCCAACATTTATATTGCTGAGTGTCCCAGTTAAGTTCCCATTCTCCGACATTTCTAAATTCAGTCAACACGGACCATAAGATACGCAAGTTGAGGTAGTGTCTCAAATAAATCCAAATGCCAACAAACAAAACGAAGAATGGTCCTGTTAAAGGAGAGTTCAAGTAGTTCAAAGTTTTCGAAGTAGCCAAGAAGAAGTCGGAAACATCCATAGTGATATAAACTGCTAGGCCCATCCAGGTAAAGTGGAAACGGTACGAACACCAGATCAATGCAATGGTAATAATGTGATGCAATACAAGTTCTTTGAAATCCTTACGAGGTTTCTCTAATTGCAAAATTAAAACAACAGATTGTTGGACCCAAAATGCTGCTTGACCCAAATAGTACACCTTGAAGTACAAATCATGGGTCTTATGGGGGTAGCTTTCGTAAAATGGTAATGTTTCAAAAAACCATAATGGTAAGTTAGACATAATCCATAACCCAAATGGACCAGAAATCCCATAGTAGAACATCGCGTAGGTTTGTTCCATGAAACGTTTAGCTTTGGCCTCCTTGGTGATATTCAACCAATTAGCTGTGGGTTTCAACACACAGCACATCAAAAACTCTCTTAAGAACGTGAAAAAAATCGCATAGAATCCAACAAAATAGAAATCGTTCACACCTTTACCATATTGGTCGGTACCCTCAATCTTATACGCTGGGATCATCATAGCTTCTAAAACCTGATGGATAATAGTATCTGGTCCAGAAACCAAAAATGCTCCCAAAGCTGCCAATAACACGAGCAATGGATTAATCCAGGTATGTCTGTACGTGATTTCTCGATACGCAACACCTATCTTCTTCACTATTGCTACATCCGAGTCTGACTCCTTCGACAATTCAACGATTCTGGCATCTGACTTCTTTCTTTGCGACTTAGACGTGTACAGTGTAGCAAATGATGGTGAGGTGTCACCAACATCAATATTACCAACTGATGATCCACGACGACGGAGACCCGGTTGCGCCCCCAGAGACGCACTTGGTCTTAATGGCGACAAGTTATTCTGTTCTGGTGATGACATTCTTATCTCTTAACTTAATATGAGAAAAGCGCTTGTGTAATGGATGTGAATAGTCTTTATACTTCTTAGTCGACTTCGATGTTTTTTTAACGTAAATAATGGGATTATGTAATCGGGCCAATTTTTGTCCCCTATCATGAATCACTATCATTAGTTAGGGTTGCCTCCTTTATTAATCGATCCAATTGGTACATTATAGATACGAATCCGGAATAATAGGGGCAGAGCTTATGTTTGGAGGAAGACAAAGTAATAATAGAAGCAACGACTCTTTGGAGCAGCTTATTAAGCGTGCAACGGATGAGACTTTAACCAGTGATAACTGGCAGTACATTCTTGATGTATGTGATAATATTTCCAATAATCCAGAAGAAGGTACAAAACAGGGAATCAAAGTGGTTTCACTGAGATTGGCATCGAAGGATGCTAATATCATACTTCGGACGTTGTCGTTGCTTGTGGCAATGGCAGAAAATTGCGGATCAAGAATGAGGCAAGAGATTGCAACAACGTCGTTTGTACAAGAATCGTTATTAAAGAAGTTTACGGATAGAAGGTTACATAAGACGGTTAAATTTAGGGTGGCGGAAGTGATAAAGCAGTTGCATGATTCGTTCAAAACGGATCCGTCTTTGAAACCTATGACCGATGCTTACAATAGACTCGTTAATGATTATAGCCAATACTTGGCAGAGACAGCCGATGGACCGGCTAAGCCCGCAAAGAAGGAAAGAAGCAGACAGGATAAGAAAAAGGAAGAAGACGAATTGCAGAGGGTATTGAAATTATCCTTACAGGAGTATGAGAGAGAACAGACAGTTAAGAAGAGTTATTTGAATAGCAAACCTTTACCACAAGCGCAAAATGAGTTGCCATATCAACAGCAACAACAGCAGCAACAACAGGTTTTACAAAATCAACCCATGCATAGTACCCCTACTGGTCAGCAATCCACCCAATCGCCTGTTGAATCACAAACTATAGCCACTGTATCCAAAGTTCGTGCATTATATGACTTAATATCGTATGAGCCTGATGAGCTTTCATTTAGAAAGGGGGATATAATTACGGTGATTGAGTCTGTTTATCGTGATTGGTGGAGAGGATCGTTGGTAAATGGAAAAACTGGTATTTTTCCATTGAATTATGTCACTCCAGTGGTTACTAAAACCCCACAAGAGTTATCTCGCGAATTAGACGAAGAAAACAGACTTTTATCGGTGGATCTGAAAAAGATAGATAAGCTTTTGGCATTATTGTCTTCAAACCCGGAAACCATCGATGAAGATGAAATAACTAAGCTTTATGGCGATATTATACCTCTAAGGACATCATTAGGCAAATTCATCGACAAATACAATGTTAGAAAGGAAGAGCTCCTGGTATTGAATTCGCAATTGAACAATGAAGTCAAACTCTACAATGACTTGATGGATAGCTCAATTTCTCACAGGGTCACCCACCAACCCAGTGGAATGTCTATGGCGCCCTATCCTACTGGAGTTGCTAGTCCGACACATAGTAGCTTTCCTCAAGCTAATCCATCTATGCTTCACCAACAGCCTACAAGTAGCGGCTTTGGAAATGCGAGAGTAAATAGTTCTAATGAGTATTTTCACTCACAACAAGCACCACCCACTTCGTTCAATCAACAATCACACCAACACCCACAACCGCCTCAACAACCAGGACCTCAAAGACATAATACTGAGTTCCTGAACATTAACAATTTTCCCAACGTAAATAATATATAGGCATTCATTCTCATAATATATTACCATAATCGATCGAGCGCGATTTGATTTTATCTAAAAACATTCATAATCAGTCACACCAACGTAGCAATAATTTAATTAACCATATAAGTACTGAATAATGTCAAATCCGTTGTATTCACATAGAGAACAAGAAAACAATCAACGATTTGACAATCTAGCTCAGACTTTGAGTCAATTCCGTAATACAGTAAACAATGATATTCATGGATCAATTCAACAAGAAAATCTGACATTAGATTTATTAAATGATAATTTCAGTCAGTTAATGCATCTGGTCAAAAGAACAAGTGGCGATTTACGAAATGTTATGAATAGAAATGCAAGTCTTACAAGAATTGTGGGCGTTATATTGCTTGCATTTTTTGTAATTTGGATGTTGTATAAATTAAGGTAACGAAACATAAAAAAGATTTTGTATTTAAGGTAGAACCTAACAAACACCATTTATGGAAATAGCATTCAGTTCTTCAAACCTCATGCATATATAAATATATATTCAGAAGAATAAACATCTATTTATTATGAACCACGTCTGATCCTAGTCTATAGTTACCAATGGCTTGTCCCCAATTGATTTTCGATCTAGTAACTGGCAAAAGTCTTCTTAAATGCTTAAAATACTTTTGATTTAACTCGTTGAAGTCTTCTACAATCTTCAAAGTCATTTCATTTTCAGCATTATTTATGAAGTTGACAATTTCACTAGCATTGCTACTAGATAACGTGCCTCTAGTCTGTTCATCAAAATTCAAGCGGACATTACCATCTTCATAGTAATGAATATCTAACTTTACTTCACCTTCAATAGATCCTGATTTTATCTTGTAATGAGATTTCCATAATCCAGTATAGAAATTTTCGTAGTTCAACTTCTGCCCAATTATAATAATTTGCAAGTCAGAACCATCAGGAACAATTGTGAACGCATACTTTGATGGGTAATGATCTTCACCATATTCCGTTAATTTCTTAACTAACTCGTCAAAATAAGCCGGATACTTCACTTCAGGCTCATAGTCTTCAAAGTCGATTGCAGTTTGCTTATGGAGATCGATATTGAACAATTTTTTACCAATAAAGTCAATATATTTTGTTGATGACTCATGCTTATTTATCTTCGATGCAATGTATGTCGAAGAAAACACTCCCGAATTTTCATTTATGTACTTCTCAATTGCTGTGTTAACTGTTGAAGAATTGGATTTTGACAAAATTGCTGACAAATCTTGACTAATCCGATCCAATTCACCAGGTGGTGATGACTTAACTAATGACGATACAATGGTATCTAATCCAACTGACGAAGACATGTTTTGATAAATAAGATCAATTGGACATACGTAGCGGGATTGTCTATATAGAAGGAGTAGATCACCCTACGAGATACTATTGTTATATGCAGTATGTATATATTCATATTTTTGATTTGTACTGTACTATATATTTATAATTTACTTACGACAATAGGAAAGCACCGGCACCTTCGTTTACGGCCTGAAGTAACTTTTCTCTCATGATACTCTCTGATGAATAATTTGGAAGTTTAAGATAATTAGCACAAGTCATTACACTAGGCAAATAATCATCATCCTTTAACCCACTATCAGCTTGCTTCCTAACAATTGTGAAGACAGGTCTCAATGCTTTAAAACCACCAATGGGTAATTTTGGAGCCCCTGTTAAAAACTGTAAGAATGCTCTTTTCTCAATATCATTAAAACTAACAAGAATATTGATAAGCCTTGTAATTGATTCTGATTCCTTGGTATAGCCGTGATTAGCATTGACTGCAGATGGCAAGGTTTCAATGGACCAATCTTCTTCAGCACTTCCAAATAACTCAACTAATTCTTCCGGCGAAAAAATTACCAATGAATTAATAGGGAAAACTTTCGAGAATCCATCCATAAATGCCTTAGTTTGATGTACAATACCAGTATATAAAGTTGCCTCTAGAACCTTATTAATGTAGGTTTCGAGGTTGCTAGAGGTTACCGGGGTATCATCTCCATTTGGTATTAATTCATATTTGGGGTATCCTGGAACAATAAATGATAATGATAAGTCATTTATAGTGCAATCATCAATCTTTATATTATCGCGGTCATGTTCTTCAACAGTTGAAAATTGTTCGACATATTTCAATAGATGTTCCATAGAATCAGCTAACTCTGGATCAATTGACCTAAGGGTTGCCATATTTGCCAACTTTTTGACATCCCTTCTTGCTGCCTTCTGGATGCCATTTTTATTAAAGAATTGAACAAATTTCAAAAATACTGGATTGAAATTGAAATCAATTATTCTAGAATCCAATAGAGCCCGAGCAATAAATTTACCTAAATTTGAAAAGAAGTACAAAACTTTACGCCCGTTTTCACTTGATACTTGAGATTTGTCTAATGGCGCAGGAAATAAGCCAGTTCTCGAAAATATATAATCCTCTTCATTATTGTTTGCCAGATCATAATCTCTCCATAATTTTAATTTCTTCTTGGAAAATTCTTTGGAAACGGTCGCATAGAATTCTAATGTAGGTCCTAGACCAGACCCGACTTCATCAAAATATTCTATCTCTAAAATTCCAGGTGATGATCCATATAAGCCTAATACTTTAACTGCACTCTGCAACATCAGGTTTCTAGAAAGTCTTACTTTATGTCTTGTTGGTCTACCCAATTGAGGTCTTTGGTTATTGGTACTATTATTGTCTTCGATTTCTTGATTAGTTCTAATTTGCCATTGGTGAATCAATCTAGAATAACCAAATGATGTAGATTGCAATAGGAAAATTCTCGTATCTAGCGGGAAAATAAATGGAAATCTTTTTGTTACATTAATACTCCAGCCAGGTAAGGTACCACTTGCAACAACCAATGGCTCTTCAAGTTGTCTGTTCAATTTCACCGTGAGCTTCCAATTCATAAAAGAATCATTGGAAACGCTACTCATATTTGGATTGTTATTCTTAACAGAAGAATTCATCTCAAATAAGACCTTAAGCAACTTTAAAATATTAATTGTATTCTTATCATAGTTACCAAGGTCTGTAACATTGACATTACTATCATAAGATATTGGTTTTGTTTCTGATTCCGGTGCAACATCTACTTTACGATAAGTAATGTTATGAATATTTGCCCAAATCTTAGAAGGGTCAACAGTTTCGTCAATTTTTGTCTGCAATGACCTATAAACTGCACCATATATTGTAGTTTCATTGGGAATTACTTCTCCGTCGTTCAAAAATTCAATAGTCCAAGACGATTCATTTGAATCTTCTTCTTTATTCTCCTCCGAATCGTCACTTTTCTTTTTATAATCACCTTCACTTCCCAATCCATTCAATTCATCAAGAAAGTGCAATCTTTGTTTAATGAATGTATCGATTGATTTAAATGTAGCAATTGCATGAACAGACAATACCATGTTTTGCAAACCTGTTGGTAATTTATTTTCCAAAATATCACCTTCAGCAGTGAGCTTTAATTTAACTTGTCTCGCCATTGCGGACGTATGGTAACTTTCATTATTATAATTAGAAATTGAAGAGGCGTTACCTGAGGATACTATTTCAAATGATTCACATCTGGTCAATGCTTCTTGTAACTTGTTCACTAGTAAGAAAATGGATGAATCCTTAGACTTTACCGAGTTATTTACAAAAAATACAGTTACAAATGCCTTGTAACAATCATTTAATTCAAACCCAAAGTCATAAAGATCCGATGTAAAGATAAATGATAGTGATTCGATTATTCCCGACGATATTAACTCAAATGATGATATCTGGAACTCGCCATTTGATCCACTTAATGAAAACTTAAGTCTATTCCATATTTCTTCCCACTGACTGAAAGAAAATGACTTGATTAGCTTTTCGTTACCTAAAATATCCCTTATAACTTCTAACTCTTTCATATGATCAGGCACTTCACTTAAACCACCAGAAGATCTAGATGCAAGGTAAATGTCTTCGATATTTTGAGCAACCTTAATTAGCTTACTATAAATCAATTCACTAGTCTGAGAATACTCAAAATCCCTTGTAAATTCCATATCAATGAACTTATTAGTATAGTTGGAAGAGAATAGGTTTGCTCTAGTCAAATTCGGTAAATTCTCATTAGAGTCATAATTCAACAATTTCAAATTATTAAGGATAGATAAACTATCGCTAAATAATCCTTCTCTTTCAAAATCAGAAATAAATAAATCTGGAGACTTTTCAATCAACGCTTGTGACATTGAAATTGCACTCAATAATAGACAATTCGAGTTTACTTTGGAGGCATCATCTGGCCCGCTTTTCCTCGAAGAATTAATTTGGCTGATCTCGTCAGCTTCGTCATCACTTTCGAGCATATCAACATCTGTCTCGTTCTTCTTTTCAAACTGTAACTTTTGATGATTATTATTCATTGGCAATTCTTTATTCATAATGCTTTTACTTTGATTAATCATCGACGCTAATAGACTCGAAATCATCTCGATTCCTCGTATTTTCTTTAACCCCTTTTCATCACTAAATGAAATAATTCTTGACAAATTAATAACAATTTTCTTACGAATTTCAAAATCCATAGTAGCTTGAAAACTATTAATTAATAATGACCAAATTTGATTCACAAACGCCCAATACGAATCTGGAATAACCTCTTTACATAAGACAACACGATTTTCGTTTATCTTAATCTTCTCTTCATAATCCTCGTGGTTATCTTTCAAGAAGGGAGAATCTCTTACGTCATAAGTTATAGGCAACAAGTAACCAATCAAATTCAAAAATTGTGAAAGTAATTCTTTAGGAGCTGCCATTAATGCTTCCACTGAAATATTATCTATAGAAGATTTCGAAGTAATGGTTTCCAAATTCTGTTCATTGATAGATGCTGATGACATATTCAATTGTGCTTTTTGGTTTGGTTTAGTCTTCGAATATTTATTCAAGGACCTCACTATTATTTCACCAATAGAACAAGTTTCCAATATAGTTTTTGAGATTTCGACACTTACGCTAGATAATATTATCAACGACTTAATTAAGCTCAAGCATGATCCAAAATTCAAGGGTATTTTTGTAGCCTCATTTTCTGTAGAAGAATTCAGAGATTTGTTAGAACTGATATAAATAATTTCAATTAATTCCCGTAATAAAAGCTCGTTATTCAAGAATAAGTCCTCTAAGTAATCTGGTTTAAGTTTGAAACTCATTACAATCCCTGATATCGCGAGCCAACTGCTTTCAACCACGTTTGAATCTGTATTATTTCTAACAACCTCAGAAATATTATCGAAGACATTTTTAACCATATTAAAATTAGCAAGCGAAATGTTAGAACAGGAATTGGCTACTATACTTAAACACTTCTTTTGCGCATGAATTGTCAAAAAGTCTAAGTATTGCAAGCATGCCTTTAATCCGTTGGCTGCAATGATCATATTATGAGAAATCGGGTCGCGTGAAATCATTTCTAATGTTTGTAATAACTGTTCAGTTAGATCAATACATGTGATCTCCAAAAGCTTCTGACATAAACATTCTACTGCATTATTATTAAGAGCGTCGTGGATGAAATCTTGGTTCACCTCCAAAAAATTGTATAAACATCTGCACGCAACCAAATTGATTTCCAATTCTTCCGTTAAATTAGGATCTTCCATAATATTAATCAAACTTTTGGCTAATTTGTTAGCAGGCACCATTCTCTCTGCCGTAATTCCGTTCATCATTAATAACCTCTCTGATAACTCATTCAACGTTTCCAAAATAATATATGGATCATCCCGTTGGTTCAAATTGTTGATTAATCCTTGCATTTCATTGTTGTCTCTATCAAAACCACTAAACATTATACCATCTCTCATTATTCTGTGGACGACATCCGCAAATCCATTGCCTGCCGCAGTTTGTTCATCGTTATCTTCAGTTCTATCGTTATAGCTACTCATATCCCTTCTGTCACCACCAATCAGCCTCATGGCCCTCAAAGGATCCGAACGCGTGTTGTTCTCGTCGTCGTTCTCGTCGTCGTCTTCACCGTCGTTCTCATCATCTAGCGCCCCCATGCGTCCACCTCGCGATCTCGTCTGAATAAGCCGGCGCAAGAAGTCCACTGGGTCCAAATCGTCCTCTCCCTCGTCGTCATCTCTATTAGCAACATCATTTTCGTCGTCCCCCTCTTCTGCTTCCTCGTCTTCATCTTCTTCGTCTTCGCCTTCGTCGTACGGATCATATTCACTCCTTCGCATCGCCTGGTCTGATAATCTTTGCAAAGAGTCATCCTCGTCCTCTAGTTCCTCTATCTCGTCAATAAACTCGTCTGTGTGATTCTCGAATCCGCCGTCTTCGTTCTCCCGGTCCAGCATATCTGAATCTACCAGGCCCAATAGATGATCTCGCGAGAATTCCGGTTTTTTATCACTGTAATTCCTGGAATTCGACATCTCATAAACTAAATACTTCCAATAATTCGAATAGCGTATCTAGTACTGGAAAATAATCAAAATGCAATACTAAATATCCTTGTCCGCCTAATTGGTCTACAAATCAACCCGCTGCATAACTATTACTAACAGTTTCTAGATAATCAAATGTCGCGGTTGCCACAGACATTCTCGCGACATTGTTACGACATGTCCATGTCCATCAGTTTATTATGTAACTATATGTCGAAGTGTGCGACATTCCGCGATCTCAAAAAAAAAAAACCAATCCTCTCTCCCCACCGATAGGGAATCCCCCAATCTTTATTTGATTTTATAACAATCTCCAAAGCAACCATGGACGGTCTAATTAAACAAAGCCTTACAGTTACGCGTTGGTGTGTAATAGGCATATCACGTAAAAGACGGAACAATATAAAAATTCCGCATATGCGTGGGGTTATGGCTAAATGATGGATCCCCCACGTTGAGAACAAGGTTTCATGTGGGGCAAGGCGCACCTCTGTGAAGCAGCCTGCCTAAAGCGGCTAAGACATCCTATTGTATTGAGTTTATCCATACTGGATTGTCGGAGAATCCTATTATTTTGACGGTTTAATAGATAGCTCTCACAAATTTTAAAGTGGCATGTTACATCTTGCAGCAAAAAGCTGGAGGAGACTGGAGGAAGGCAAGACGTTTTTGTTGGCAAAATGAATAGTATTTTAGAAGTCCTAAATCGCCTTTAATTTGAAATTGCAATTTTTCCGTTAAGCAGAAGCAGACTAATAATAACTTAATAATATGACTATCGACATAACTGATGTTGGTCTTAGTTCGAAAGACAAAGGGCCAGAGATCTACAACCACGAAGAAAAAGGTGCCAATGCTTCACATTATGAAGAAAAAGGTATCGATGCTTCACACCATGAAGACAAAGATGGATTAGAGGTTGTTGATAAAGTGTCATTGACCGAAGAATTGGCTCACAATTTGGAGCTTCCAGATTCGTTGAAGGACTTGACAGATGAAGAGTTTGAGGCTTTGGAAAAACGTACCAAGAGAAAGATCGATTTGAGAATCTTGCCTATGGTGGTGTTAATTTACATTTTGAACTACTTGGATAGAAATAATATTGCGGCTGCCAGATTGGGTGGTTTAGAAGAGGACTTAGGGTTGGTCGGATCCCAATACCAAACATGCATCTCCATTTTATTCGTTGGTTATATTTTGATGCAAATTCCTGCTAATATGTTCTTGAATAGAATGGGAAAGCCTTCCTTATTTATTTCATGTATTATGACTGCTTGGGGTATCATTTCCACATGCACTGGTGCTGTTCAAGGATATGGTGGTCTTATGGCTGTGAGAGTGCTTCTTGGTTTCGTAGAAGCAGGGTTTTTTGGTTCTTGTCTATATTATTTATCGTGTTGGTATACGAGAAAGGAATTAACCTTGAGAAACTCCATTCTTTACTCCGGTTCCCTTATTTCTGGTGCTTGGAGTGGTCTTATCGCATCTGGTATTGTTGAAAAGATGGATTATAAGATGGGCTTAAGGTCATGGCGTTGGTTGTTTATTATTGAAGGTGCCATCACTGTTGCAATTGTTCCAATTTCCTATTTAATTTTACCTGATATGCCAAAAAATACCAAATTTTTGACTCAACAGGAAAAAGATATTGTTATGTGGAAGTTAAGAATAGAAGTCGGTCAAGATGATTCTGATAAAGAAAACCAAGAGAGTTATAAAGGTGCGTTCCTTTTGGCCATTAAGGATCTCAAAATTTGGTTGCTTACAATTACCTTCTCATTCTTAGTTGCAGCCTGTGGTGTTACTAATTTCTTCCCTACCGTTGTTGGAACATTAAACTTCGACAACATGACCACTTTATGTCTTACTGCTCCTCCATATTGTATTGCTGTTGTCGCAACATTCATATGGGCAAGACATGCGGATAAAACTGGTGAAAGATATTTCCATGTCGTCATCCCATTGGTTATAGCATTAATATCTTTCATTATATCTGCAGCAACATTAAACGTTGGAGCAAGATACTTTGCTATGTGTATTATGATTCCTTCCTTATATTGTTCGTTTACAACTATTTTATCTTGGATGTCAAATTGTGTTCCAAGACCACCTATGAAGAGAGCTATTGCAATTGCTATAATGAACTGTATTGGTAATTCGACATCTATTTGGAATTCTTATTTGTATCCATCAAGTGGTGCTCCACAATTTATGGTTGCATTTGTTTGTAATTGTGTGTTTATTTTATGTTCCATTGTCGCAGCTACTTTATTAAGACAGAGAATTATCAAATTAAATAAGAGAATTGATTCAGGTACTATGAAATGGGAAAACGAATTAGGGAAAGGTAATGACGGTTCAAAAATCTCACCAGATTTCAAATACTTATACTAGATTTATGTATTTGTTTAGATAAATAACCATTAAATAACCATTATAAATATTGCATATATCAGAAATCACCATGTATTTCGTTAAATATAATAATAATGAGCTCGGCTTATTCGTAAATTGTCTGTCATGCAGTAATACAATCGGCAACAGATCACCGGTTGCATTTAATTATATCATTGTATAATTGACGTTTGAGTTCAAGGATGCTCAATTTATCCTTGCTTTTGTCAAATTCAAATTCCTCGTGTGAGATGGGCATAATTGTTGGCTCGTCTTCGGGATCATGATATGTAGAAACATAAGGGTGCTCTAGAGCTTCTTCCACGGTCATTCTCTCCTTGGGATCAAACACTAGTAACTTCTTTAGCAAGTCAAGCCCTAATGGATTTATTGGTTGACCACCAAATCTTTTGGCACGATTTGGATGTCTATTGAATACCTGATCCAAGTTTAACGGACTACAATAGGGTAGCGTTTTAATGTAGTTTTTAGCTCTTTGCGATTTAATACAAGTCAAATCGGCGTCCGTTGGTGTACCAAGTAATTGGAATATTAGTATCAATTGATGTCTATAATCATTTCCAGGAAATAATGGGGTACAAGTAAAAAGCTCTGCCAATATGCAACCTACTGACCACATGTCGATGGCGGTCGAATATTGTGAAGAGGTTAGCATAATTTCTGGCGCCCTATACCACCTTGTTGCAACATATTCTGTTAACATTGATATTCCTGAATTGATTGCTAGTCTCTTATCATATCCTTCTTTTAGGATATCTAGCCTTGCTAAACCAAAATCACAAATTTTCAAGTCACAATTTTCATTCACAAGTATATTCGAAGGTTTTAAATCCCGATGAATCACATTAGCACTATGAATTAATTTTAACCCCCTCAATATTTGGTATATAAAATATTGAATATGATCATCTGTAAGATTTTGCGTGGCTATAGTTTTATGTAAATCACTTGGCATATATTCTTGAATTAAGTAAATTTCATTGAAATTTTCAAAATTAAGTGGTTTTTGAACATCGAAGATAGAAATTATATTTTCATGCTTTTTAAAATATGTCAAAAGTTTAATCTCTCTTAAGGCTCGAAGACAAAATAGTGGTTTTTCAAAAGGTTCAAGTTTCTTTATTGCTACCTTTATCCCAGTTGGCTTGTGTATAGCTAAGCAGACGACTCCATAAGCACCCTCGCCCACAACTTGAATAACTTGGAAATTCTGGGAAATGTTAAAAATAATTCTCCTAGGCTTTAATTGCAGCATTTCTTCTATACTTCTTACATGTTGTCTTTATCTCTATACTTCGAATACAAACTTCCCTATATATATATTCTTCTCACAAACATTATTAATATGGAAATCCCACATTTTGCAACTTGTGTGACAGACTTTGTGAGAAAATCTGCAACCCCATTATTATTATTGAAATCTGAAACTCCAAGAGATACATGTAACTTAAGTACGATTTTCAGCTTAGGCTATTAATACACTTTTACGTTCTGGAACGTGGGCCAGGCATGCATTAATACACCGTGTGAAACATCAATGATACTATCGTAACTATACTTACAACCTATGCCAGATGTAACGAGATCCTACTACTACATCAGGAAAATAAATTTTACTCAAATCTTACCTAATTAGTCCCGAAATAATTTCCCAATATATAATGACGCTAGATTGCTAGAGACTATTATTAACACATTAGGATAATTGTTTACAATAAACTGGCTATAGTAATTTATTCAAAGGAAACTTCTGTAAGGAAACTGGGTACTAATAAGGTAATTACTTATACTTATAATCTGTATATTATATATATGTTCTAATAGACCAAATAGAACTT